CACAATACTGACAAGTGATTAATAAAAGTCAAAAGACCAAAGAGGTCACCTTAATAAAAAAAAAAAAAAAAACAAAATGAGTAGATATCATACTGCTCAGATGGTATACTGGTTAGGTATATATGAGAGGTTAGTTGGGGATTCCAATATGACAGAGCAGATGATCAGAGGGTTTAAAATAGATAATCACCTAGTAGGTTATAGGCATGGCATCTAATATAGAACCTTAGAGCAGACTACTTAAATAAGCAACCAAAAGTTGCATGTGTAACTAGCTGTACTCTCATCTCTGTAAAAATAGTTGTAATAACTAACTCGATATAAAGTCAGTAAAGTATCATCACAAGTATAGCCTTTAACAAAAAAAAAAAAATAAATAATTTTTATTAAATAATTATTTTTAATTTTTTCTTTATAATTATATAATGTTTTAAACTTATAGTTATTTTAGTTTTTATAAAAAAATTATTTTTAGTTATACTTAATTCACAAAATGATAAATATAAACTAAGATCAGTTTTATATTTATTTATATTTTAATTATATAATTTAGCTAAAAGATAATATTGACTAATAATTTGTTATTGTGCTTTTTTTATTTTTTTTAGTTTTTTTTTTAGAAACTAATGTATTTGTTATTTTATCTAAAAAAACTAATTAATTAAGATTCTTCTATTTTAATTAACTGTTTAAAATTATTTAAATTTAATAAATTATTATTTGTTTTTTATATTTATATAATACTTTTGTTAATAATTGTATTTAAATAAAAAATAAATTTTGTTGTACTATAAAATAAAAAATTTAGATTATAAATTAAATTATAAGATTTCAATAATTATTAATATTATAATAAATTAATAAATAATAAACTTACATATTTGAATTGAATTATCATTATCTTAAATCTTTTAATTAATAATTTTATCAATTAATTAAAATTTTCTTGATCAACAAATATATTACTATCAAAATTCTTATTTTTATATTTAAAAAATTATTAAGATCTAAATTTGTATATTGATGTTTTTTATATATTTTAAATAATCAATTAATGTATTAGAATTATTTAAAATAATTTTACTAGTTTCAATAAGATCACTTAAATTAAAAATTTTATTTTTAGATATTTAGTTTGAAACAAAATTAATAATACTCATATAATGTTCAAACCAAATTTAATATTAATTAATTTTTAAATAATTAATTTCTAAATTAAAATATTGATTAATTTAATCTTTAAAATTTTGTATTATATTTCTAAATTTAACAGAATTAGTATAATAATTAACAGTACAAAGTCCTGTAAGCTTTTGATAAAGCATTTAAAATTTAATATTTAAAAAAATATTTATAAATATATAATAGTTAAAATTTAAAAATATAAAATTATTTACACAAACAATATAGTTTTATATAATTTTTAAAAAGTAAATTATTATTAAACAAATTTTATTTAATAAAATATATATTATCATAGTTGTTATTATTACTACATATTACAAATTAAAACTTGAACTTATCTGCATAGTTAACCATATATCTAAGTATTATAAATATATTATTATTTGTTAATCTAAAACAGATAATCTAATAGATATTTGTAAAATAACTCTAGCATGACTACTAAGATCAGTTATGTAATTTGTATTTAAAATTTTAATTAATAAATTCTAATAATTTTAATATTAAATGCATAACAAAATAAAAAATAATTTAATAAAAAATTCCGAATTTTATTAAAAAAAATAAAATTCCAAGTTAATAATATTTTATACTATTAATATAATTGAAAGTGTTTTAGAGTTAAGTGCTAAAACTCTAAACTACAGATTTAGATTAGAGCTCTAAACTCTAAACTATATTCTAAACTCTAATCTAAATCTGTAGTTTAAAGTTTTGACACTTAACTCTAAAGTGTTTTTATTTTTTAAACAACTTAAATTTTCTGGTATGAAAAATATATTTAACATAATTCTTTATTTAAAAAGATAAATATATTTTAGTTCTTTTATTTTATGTTTTTAAAACTTTTTAAGATTATATATATATCTAATAACCTCTATATAAACAAAGTACAATTAATATATTGAATAATATACATTATAAAGAAATTTTTTATAATTTTCTGCAATTTAGTCTTAGTATTTGCATTGTTTGCTTTAGCTAAATTATTATATTCAGAAATAATTAAATTTAAGTTCTATTTAAAGAAATTTAGTCAGAAATACCAAAAAAGTTGCATATAATATATACCTAAAAATAGATTATTGATTTCAAGATATTTAATTAACTATATATAATTAAATACTATTTATTGCTATAGAATTTCATTTTATAAAATAAAGTTCATATTAAAATAACTCAGTAACAACATTTAATACAAATAATAAAAATGTGATCATTTATTTTACAAAAAAATTAGCATTATTGTTGAAAAAAGCTATTGTCAGTATTTGAAAATATAAGTAATATAAGTAATGTAAATTAATTTAAATGATTTTAAAATATTATAAATTTTAAATATCTCTTATAAAAATATTTGAGTATGAAGATTGACTATTACAATTTGAAAAAAAAATTAAGAGAATTGCATATTTTTAATTTAATTAAAAAATATAAATGTAGTTTAGAATATTAATATACTTTTTTTACTTTGTTAGTTTATTTAAAAAAAATTTCTTATATAATTGCTTTAATATTTGCTTTGCTAAACTATTTTACTCATTGTAATTACTTTAATATCTAATAACTAATTATTAAAATTTTATTAATATACATATTATTACCACGACTGTCATACTTACCTAAAGGCTGAAAACCATTATGGTTTACATACTTAGAAGACACTATAATGGCTCACAATAGTTTCAGAATCTTTCTTCTACATTACCAACAACCAGGATATAATCCATTTGCATACAGTTCACAACATATCCCAAAAAAATCCAAACCCTGGTTACTTATATATGTTGTAAGTCGATTCAGGATTATGTTGATTCGGAATCCACTTAAGTGGATTTCGAATCCTGAAACAACTCATGTAGATTTCGGATCATTAAAAAATTGATCATTAAAAAATCACTTGATGCAGTAATTATTTAATTAATTATAACGTGCATTAGTAATTGTATTTTACAAAAGTTTCTTCATTCAAAATGTCAACCCAAGAATATTTCTTTATTTCGAGAGAAGCTTTTAATGATTTAATCAATAAATTCCTTGAAAAAAAAACACTGGCTAGACACCATAAAACCTTTATTTCGCAAGATGACTACGATCTTATAATTGCAGTACTTCGTGACCCTATCAATACATCTTTAGGAACACCAAAAGATCGATTTTGGATTAAAAATTCTTTTCAACTTCGTGAGTTAGAAACTGAAACAAATCCAAACACCCAAATTATTACTGTTGCTAAAGATGAAAAAGGGTTGGACTTAATACGTACAATATGTCCATTTAACTGCCTTTATGATACATTATGTAAAGTTCATATGAGTGTTTTGAAACATGTTGGGGCATCTAAAATGTGGAATGTTGTAAGTAATGTTTTATTTATAAATTTTTTACTATAATTAGAAATTTTTAATAATGACTTAATTTTTTAGATTGGAAAGCAGTATGATTATATTCCTCAGTTATTTATAAGAGAATTTTGTGGCGCTGGTAATACATATGCTACATATAGATCTTTTCCTAATGCTCTTGCTGCCAAACCAATCATAGTATCAGGTTTTCTTACTCGTATACAGATAGACTTAGTTGAATTAACATTCCAACCTGTGGGTAATTACAAATATATCTGTCACGTGCGTGACCATTTTACCAGGTTTTCCTGGGCTCGATGTCTTACAAGTAAAAGTGCCTCAGAAGTAGCAGTATTCCTCTTTGATATTTTTACCATATTTGGAGCTCCAACTATCTTGCAGTCAAATAACGGAAAGGAGTTTACTGCAAATCTTATTGCAGAATTATTAACTCTTTGGCCAGGAATATGTATTATCAACGGACAACCAAGACATCCGGAATCACAAGGGATAGTCGAAAGAGCCAATGGGATTATGCAGATCAAACTTGGAAAGTGGATGAAGGATAACAAAACAAATAATTGGACGGAAGGATTACCATTAGTTATACGTATGTATATGTGATAATTTATTTTTAATTAACATTGATATGATTTTACAAAAAAAAATTATTATGCATTAAATACAATGAATATACAAACAGTTCGTGCAACTGGAAAATTACCATACTCTCTTGTGTTCGGGCAGGATCCATTTAAGAATTTTTCAATACTTGAAGATTTATATCAAAAGAATGTTGTGGATGAGGAGAACCTACCTAATGATTTTTTTGAAGAATCAGATAATAATGATTTATTGTTGGATCAATCAGAATCATTAGATCAATCTAAATTACTAACAGTCTTGAATCGAGAATTTTTAACACTGAATCAATTTGAATCCTTAACATCGAATCAAGTTAAATCCTTAACATTGAATCAATTTGAGTCCTCAATACCAAATCAATTTGAATCCTCAACACCGAATGATAATGTATTATTTAAATTTTTATTTATAAAATTTAATTTATATGTTAAAATAATTATTTTTATTTAATAGGTTGGTTCACAAGATTTACCCTTACAAGAAATTCAAAATATTCAATCACATCATCAACTATCTCGTGAATATGCTAACAAGTCACTCATCATTTATCGAAACAAAATGAAGGATCAGATGATGAAAAAAAACAATAAACACCCACTTGAATATTCAATCAATAACTACGTATGTCTTGAAATTCCAAGAATAGACCGTAACAGTGTTGATCGATTTATCTTGCCTTGCAAAGTAATTGAGAAATTGTCAGATAAAACATATCATTTACAATGCAAAAGTGGCATTCTTGATATTGTCTATAGTGTAAATGAAATTATGCCACTGGAGCCAACAGAGTACAAAGAGCTTAAAGTCTGTCAAGATAATATTATCAATTTACGAGAGGCTGCAAGAATGCAGTCCACTTTTACTATAACCGGTACAAAATGCAATTGTAAAGGTAAATATAAAAATAATTCGTATAAATGCAGGCATTCAAATTTGGTGTGTGGAAGTGGATGTCATCCACATAGTTACAAATATAAAAATAAAGAATAATTAAATTTGGTGTGTGCAAGTGGATGTCATCCACATAGTTACAAATGTAAAAATAAAGAATAATTCGAATGTTTCATAATTTGGTATCCAAAATAGATATTATTTACATAACATCAAATATATGATATAGAAGTTCTTATTAGATATAGAACATATATGTAATGCTTTTAGCTGTAATCGAAATTTATTTGAAATTTTTTTTGTCTATCATTTTTTTAAAAATTCCATTTTCACATGAGTTGTTTTAAGATTCCAAATCCACTAAAGTGGATTCAAAATCCACTTAAGTGGATTCTGAATCAACATAATCCTGAATCAACTTACAACATATATACTGACAATAAAATTATTATTGGCAAAATCCGCAGACATTTCAAAAATACTAATCAAATATCTATTATACATTGGCAAACAAACATTGATATAAATCACTCTGGCTACTATCCTCTTTTACCAACCCAAAGCTCATCTTGTCCAGGCTGCCATTTAAACTTCAACAGAATTCAGAATTTATGTACAATTAATGTATTAACTATTATTTCTTCCCAATTTCTAGGAAGAGTCAATTCTAACTCACTAAACTTCAATGCCAACTATATTGACCTTATTCATTCAACAGCTATTAAACATCTATTATCAATTCCTCCAGCACCAACAATTCCAATTCCCAACTCTTATGTTTTTGAAATATTCAAAACTAGTGAAGCAGCAAATATACTGAAACAATACTCAATTCTTAACAGCTC